TTGCATTCATTTGATGAAAAATACAGTATAAACCGTAATATTATGGAACATAGTTTTATCATTTAAAAGAACTCTTTTCTGTTTGAATATATTTTAACATTTAATTTATTCCTGTGATTCAAAGCTGAATTTTCAGTGTCTTCAGTGTCACATGATCCTTTAGAAATCATTCCAATATGCTGATTTACTGCTCAAGAAACATTTATTATTATCAATGCTGAAAACAGTTGTGCTACTGATATTTTTCCAGTTCAACAGCATTTAATTGTAATTTTATTTTTTTTAAATAACATTATAAATGTCTTATCTCTTACTTTTGATCACTTGCGGAATAAGTGAATTTCTTAAAAAAATTAATTTAAAAAAATCTTAGTGACCTCAAACTTATCAATGTTAGTGTATCAATATTTATAAAATTCAAAAGTGTATTACTATTTAGTATCTTATTAACCATCCAAATTAAGATAATATATTAATTAATGAATAAATCAGCATTTCATGTAATGCTGGCCTACTCTTTAGAAAAAAAAAGTTTTTAAAATAATACATATCTGATTTGTTTATTTAATAACTATAAAATTATGACAATATATTTTACTTCATTAAATTAAGTGAAATGGAAAGTGAATCCCACTTATGCTAATTTTAGTCCATAAAACAAACAAATAAAATAAAATAAAATAAAAAGTCATAAGAGCTCACCTCATGTGCTGTTAGGTCCCAGTTGTGCAGCATGCGGGAGGGGATGATGGTTGTGTCTCCCTGATGGCAGCTCTCACAGTAGTACTGACCCGAGAACTCACAGAGTCTGGCTCTCCCCAGAGACATACCGATCTGACGAGGGCAACCTGCGTACACATTCACAGCGGCCTTTACTTAGAGCCAGAGAGCACAGGTACAGAGGAAAACCAAAAACATCTCCACTGCTTCATTCAAATAAATTAATTCAGATATTGAAAACAAGAGCTTATTAAAAGTCATCTGTATGATTTGCATTTAATTCAAAATAACTTAGAATAAGATCTATACAAAAAAACAAACAAACAAAAAAAACAATCATGCCAAGCTCTCATACCTGCACATTTGTAGTTTTGTGCATCTAGTCCTCTCTCATTCGGGACAGTAGACAGGTGAGACAGCAGCACCCCATCTCCCTTCAGTCGGTGTTGGACCAGCTTGTGGACACTACCCACTGCTGAGATGCCCTGAAGCGCTCCATCATCCTCCGTCTCCAGATACGAGTCGAGCGCTCCTCTGATCAGACTCCTCCATCCTCGTGCTTCCTCACCGCTCTCCGCCCGCAGCGTCAGAGAGTCCCGCGCAGTCAGAACCTTAAAAAACGCTGGACTTCCTAGAGAAACATCAGGAACCACATCCCTGATGCTCCCAATGGGGTGTGAGAACAGAGGCGTCTTCGAGTCCCCTTGGACCCGGTAACCTCTGAGGGCCTCCAGGGAGAGAGAAAGTAAAACAGACCGCCAACCCTTCTCCTCCAAGTTCTGATAGACCACCGCTTCCTTTATGGCATCTGGTTCTGGGTCTTTATGACGGGTCCAATCTAACTGTGGAGTATCTGGAAGCTCTGAGACGGTGTGCTCGGGGCTTGAGGGTGTCGGCGACGGGACGTCCTGCTCGTGGGACGTGTGTAGCACCTCCCACTGTTTGTCTCTCATCATGGGCCGTAGTTTGCTGATGGCCTCCACGATGCGATCCACCCAGTCCTCAGCCTCTCCTCGAGACGGTGCACGCAGGTAGATTCTTTTGCCGGGGAAGAAGATCCGAAAACGGCCCTCTGTACTGGAGGACAGGTGGACGTCTTCGCAGCGCAGCAGGGACAGGTTTTCGTAGCAGATGCGCTCCTCTGCGTTGATGTAAAGCCGCAGCTCAAACGGAGAGAGCTCGCAGTAATAATCCCACCACATGCCCACCGCACTGCGCCGCTCCAGCTGACCCAGCTTCAGCAGACCCCTGGTGTGTGTGTGTATATGTATATATATATATATATATATATATACACATAAGTGTTCCAAATGAACACTTATTTGTATCCCTTACCGGGATATCTTCAGGTCTTTTTCCTTAAAACATAACATTCTTTGTGCTTTTACTTTAAAAAATGTTAGGCCTATATGGTCTAAATATAAAGTGCAGTGCTCATAACAACAAAGTTGTCTCGTAAACTCCGATGCTGTGACTTCAGTTCACGTATTGCTTTTTTATTAGTTAAATTTTAAATTTCTATCAAAAAACAGGCCTAAGAAACGTGTGCAATTGTACACCATTCTTTTTTATTAGTTACATTTTTTAGACTAGGCATTGGTTTTCAAAACTGCTTGGTAATTTTCATATTTACTTCTGAATAAAGGAACAGCATAAAAAAATCAGTGAAAATCTGAAAGATAAGGGTAAATGCACTTTTCGTTCTCTGAACTGCTTTAATACCCTCAGCCAAAAGGAAGAAAATAAGAAAATTACACACGATTAATGTGATATTAATTTAGGAACAATAAAGAAAAATGTAGGCTATTGGATTTTCCCTAAAATTGTACAAATGAGCAGGAAAATGAACTGAACAAGTAATTTTTGATTCAGTACATCGCAGTGTTACCATTACCAATAGGCTAGCTCAATGCGTCTCTTTGAAGATCTGCCCCTTTAGGTGTGGATTACAGCCTCCAATTGACAACTTCACTAATAATTTACAACACTGTCAAAAGTGACATTTCAGAAAAATAACTATTTTATTACTTACTTTTCCTTGATGTGCCTTATGTCCTGTGCTTCTTCATCATAAATGATAACCAAACAAGGTTTCCTTTACTGTACTTTTCAATTAATGTTTAATTGTTTCATTTATTTAACATATACACTATATATATATTCTAAAAAGACAATCAAGTACTATAGTTTTTACAGTACAAACAGCAGAGGCTGACAATGATTATGACTTTCTGATGCTGGACTAGATGGCAAATAAGGTAACTTTTATGGAGACTATTCAGATATATATATATATATATATATATATATATATATATACGATTCTGCCTTATTATGTGATAAAAAAGAAAAAAAGAAAAGTGTTTGTAGTACATTAACAAATCTTTTATTGGTTATTGTCCAACAGTGACGCAAGGCAAGGCAAGGCACTGTGTGCATGTGTGTGTATATATATATATGTATGTATATGTGTGTGTGTGTATGTGTATATATATAACATTTCTGTCCCCCTCACTTCTGAAATGATGGCTACGGCCCTGTATATAGTATACACAGTGTAGTTTTACCGAACAAACATCAGAAACGGCGAGCAAGACCGTGGCAGCTGCCATGAACTCTGGCACTGGCAGCTGGGGATGCCACCGGAAGTGGTGCTGCGACCTGCCTCTCTGTTCCATTAGAAAAATACAGAGAGGGCGAGAGAACAGAAGAGCGCCTGGCAGGGGCTCACAGAGACCCCCGGATCCACCTTACAGATCGATATGTGATCAGTTTAGTCAACCCCGTCGCCTGAGTGACGCCCGGGCTGCTTGAGACGTTGTAACGGAGGAGAAACAAACCCGTTTTCTCTCTCTATTGTGGATCATTTGCTCTCGTTGGAATCGGAATCGGATTGATCGTTCATAAGGGCAGCTCGCAGATTGGCTTCGAGGGAGTAAGATGGGGTGTTTGGGGAGCAGTAAAACCGAAGACCAGCGCATCGACGAGAAAACACATCGAGAGGCCAACAAGAAAATAGAGAAACAGTTGCAAAAAGAGAGACAGGCTTATAAAGCCACACATCGACTGCTGTTGTTGGGTAAGAGGAGACTTGAGGCGCTGTATCCGACATACGAGGCTGTGTTTAAACGCACCGTGTTTGACAGCTCGATCTGGCATGTCGGATTGTACATATGAAGAACACACACACCGTGATATCTGAAGTATCTGAGAGACTTTGCATGTATTCACTCGGCTGTGTTTGCTTCCTAGGTGCTGGGGAATCGGGGAAAAGCACTATTGTGAAGCAGATGAGAATTCTTCATGTCAACGGGTTTAATGCGGAGTGAGTACCTGTTTACTGTACTGGTGTCACATATGTGCATGTGAGTGCTGGGCCCTGTGTTCAGGAAACCCTCATACACGCTGAAGCAGATAGTAATGCTATCAGCTAGTGCCTCACTGCAACATCACCGTTATGTGCTCATACAGAGCAGTGCTGAGGGTAATGCATTACAAGTAACGCGAGTTACGTAATCAGATTACTTTTTTCAAGTAACTAGTAAAGTAACGCATTGCTTTTTAATTTACAACAGAATATCTGAGTTACTTTTTCAAATAAGTAATGCAAGTTACTTTTTTTTCAATGTATTGATTGACAGCTTTTCCTGTCGCCATGCTGAGAGAAATCAGAAGATGTTACTGTAGTTCAAAATAAATATGAATATGCATTATCTCACTCACACAAAAAAACACAGATTCAATATTCCTAAAAATGAATACAAATAATGCAACTCAGAATATGATGCAAACCTGTAACAATTAAATGTTAAACAACACAAATATCCTTTATGCATTTAATCCCATTCTATTAACCAGTGTCTTTGCTTCTGACCTTCGATGATCCAGTTCAACCGTACTAATAAGCACAAATTACTCTAGACAAACATTTGTGTCTTTTTTTATTGCTGAAGTGTGTTGAAACTTCTTCTTCTGCATTCTACTGTACGGACGTAAATGTACTTTCCCTTCAGCCTGAGGCTTATTCATTTCACTTCTGGTGTGAAAAGGCTTTTATATTTGCCAAAAATAGAACTTTTTTATTTTAAAAACAAACAAGCAAGCCCTGTCCAGATTTAAAAAGTAACGCAAAAGTAACGTAACGCATTACTTTCCATAAAAAGTAATTAAGTAACGTGATTAGTTACTTTTTTATGGAGTAACGCAATATTGTAATGCATTACTTTTAAAAGTAACTTTCCCCAACACTGATACAGAATCTGTACGTGAGTGAGAAGTGACTCAAATCATAGAATCACAGACCGAATCTTCATCAGGCCTCTTAAAGTTTCATGCATGTTCCTTTAAAAGAGTTTTGCATACTGATAGTAATTGTAATAGCATATCTAAATGACAGAGCTTAATTAGAAATTCTGTGCAACTGTGTGTTCAGCTCCAAACTACTTTTATGTTGATTAGAGAGCACCGTAAAAGTAGTTCATATGACTTGTGCATTATATTTTTCAAGTCTTCTGAAGTCATATTATAGGTTTGTTTGTGCCAGGAAGAGGCTGAAATTCAAATGGTTAGTTACTTAAGATCTTTCCCTTCGCTTAAGCTCTCAAATTCTCATTCTCAGTTTCATGACACATCAAGGTTTGGCTTGGAATATGGTTCACAAATTGTATAGTTTTTGTCATTTTGAAAGCTTGACAGATGCTGTCATTTTGAGCTGTCACTGTGTTGGAAGAGAGCTGAATGAAGATTCTCTGAAATATCTCCTTTTGTGCTCCACAGAAATGTTTTTTTGGAATGAAATGATGACAAAATGAACATATTTTTTTTTATAAGAGCTATTCCTAGAACCGGTAGTTGGAGATTTGAAATTCAGTCTATTGTGAATGAATGCAGTTTATTATTGTTTATATATATACATATATATATTTTTTTCTGTCTTTTGACCAAATTTAAATGTTTTCTCATACAGGGAAAAGAAACAGAAAATTCAAGACATTCGCAAAAATGTGAAGAACGCCATCGTGGTAAGTGAGCCGCTCTCATTCCTGATTTAGTTTCTACAAGTTGTTTTCTAGATCTAATCTCGGTCTCACGGCTCATAACTCTTTGGTTTTTATTTCTAGACCATAGTGTCTGCAATGAGCACTTTAATACCACCCGTCCCACTCGCTAATCCAGAGGACCAGTTTAGGATCAACTATATCAAAAGCATAGCGCCGCTCTCTGACTTTGATTACACACAGGTAAGGAGCCTCATTTTCATCATTTACCCAGGATGCTTTGAATGACATTTGAATTTGTGTAAATGTTCTGAGGTTTTTGAACCGCTTACCGAGAGGTTTTGTACCAATTGTTGCATGATCTTTTTTAAAATCATGTACTTGAGGAGAAGTTCCTGCGACTTTGTGGGAGTGCAGAGACTGATTGCTTTGTTGTTGTTTGAGTCTGCAGTTTAAATGGGTGGTAAATTTGATAATTTTTAACCGTACGAATAAAAATCAGGCCTTAATTTTATCAGCAGTGTGGGATAGAGTTCTAGCATTTCTAGCAAAATTAATTTACAGACATGCTCTATTATCGTGTAGATGTTTTCATTTTTAACATTTAGTGTTTAGTGTAGATTTATACGTTTTTGACAGTAGTTACAATATTGTAATTACATTTAAAAAGTAGTAAAATACTGTATTTTTTAAATGATGCATAATGTAATATGGTTAGCATGTTGCTATGATAGCTTATGTTCTGTTTGTACTTTGTGATGTATTGTTGTTGCATCTGTGGTTTGCTAGCACATTAGGTTATGTTAAATTACAGGTTTTTGTGGGGTATTTTGGGTTCATATGTAGAATTAAATTTCCAGATTGACTAATCCAGGAGACCTTGATTAATCTGCGGGACAGAGAAGGTTTTCACATTAAATGCATTTGCATCAATTGTTTTAGTTGTCGGTTGACTGAGTGTAATTCAGGACAAAGATACAAATATAGTCTTTGCATTTGTCGGTGAGTGAAGCTTGTTGTAATTTAGACATTTTGTGTTGCTTAAAGTAGCTGTGTGTTTTAGCCACAGGTTAGCATAGGTTTACTGAAACTGATATTTGTGCCAGTCATTAGAAGACACCGAAGTCATGGAAAAATGGTCACTGTCGTTTTCTCAGCTTTGCTTGTTTCAGGGTATCAAGTGAAAACTTTGGAATTGGGTTGTTCTGGGGAATTTTCAGTGAAATATGTAGAATTCCATCTGATCAGGCTGAATCAAACTGAAACTAACACTAAGGCTACGTCCACACGAAGCCAGAGCTTTCCCTATCCGATCTTTTTTTCCCCCTCGTCTCAAGAAATATCTGCGTCCACACGAACTGACACAAAACGATGTAGTATACATGTCAGACCAGCATGTGGCGCTGTAATTCTGCCACAGAGATACACTAAAAACGGAGAAGAAGACTTGGACTATGCACATAAACCTTGCGCGCGGTATACAAACGAACATGGAACAATACATTTATTAATCTGTGTTAATGTTAGTTAATAAAAAGACAATTGTTCAGTGTTTGTTCATGTTTTTGTTGCTGTTACGTGACATAGCGGTGTCTGACTAGGGGCGAGACGTGGGCTGATGACGCTGATTCGCTGTCCACACGAAAACGCAAGGGTGGCGTTTTCAGATTTATCCACTCTGGGACCCGATTAAAAAAAATATCGGTTTCACTCTCCCAAAACGCCGGATCCGTGTGGACGAAACGCCTATACGATACAAAATTTGTATATGGAGATCTGCAATTCGACAGTTTTAGACCACAGATCTTCTCTCAGCTCCTGGATTCCTCTTGAATTAATTAATGGCAGATCTTTTCTCACACATGAATTCATCAATTTTAGAATGCTTGTACGGTTGGATTGTAAATACTGGAAAATCCAGAAAGTTCAGTTCTTATTTAGTGAGTAATTTGTGGTTTACTCTTGGGTTCAACGGGTGATAGATACAATATTGACTGCTGAAATGTATTATTGGTTTATCTTAAAGGAATATTTCCCCCAAAAATACAAATAAAATGCTGAAAATGTACTCACCCTCAGGCCATCCAAGATGTAGATGAGTTTGTTTCTTCATCATTTAGCATCACATCACTTGCTCCCCAATGGATCCTCTACAGTGAATGGGTGCCGTCAGAATGAGAGTCCAAACAGATGGACTGGAGGCATGTGGATTATTGTGATGTTTTTATCAGCTGTTTGGACTCTCATTCTGACGGCACCCATTCGCCGCAGAGGAATCATTGATGAACAAGTGATGTAATGCTAAATTTCTGAAGAAACAAACTCATCTGCATCTTGGATATTTACTGTTTAGGAGTAAAAACGGCACAAAGATGTACAATTTAGTTTTTGTACCTTAGGGTACCGTCCCATTGGCCGCTTTGTACCTTTTTTCTAAAACAGCAGTTTGAGAAATAGATTTTATTTTTAAAATAATATTTGTTACTGATGGGAAAAGACACAAACGTTTCGGCTCAAAGCCTTCCTCAGTGTGTCTTTGAGCCGAAACGTTTGTGTCTTTTCCCATCAGTAATGAATGTAAAATAAAAGAAAAAAGAAGATTGTTCTCGTGAGTTCGGATCATAATTTCCTATACTAATAACTCAACAGATTGACGCACCAAAATAAAAAGATCAAGTAACGCAAGAGCGCAGTGCAAACGACGTTGTTAAAATAATATTTGGTCATAACTTTTGAGAAGTACATGACTGTAAAAGCTAATAAAGCTTAAAAAATCATTCATATTTCAATACATTATGTAAAGTTGCAAACAAGTGGAAAAAGAAACTAGCATTTGAATGCTTGCATGATGAGATGTGCTCGGAGCAGCGGTGGGCCGGTGTGATCCGTCAGTCTATTTCCAGAACAGCCAAAAGGCTTTTAACCAAAACACATTTTATGAATGTAGCTGCAAGTATCTATTGGTATCAGTTCAAGAAATATATCTTAAATGAACTGAAGAGGCAATAGTTCTAAAAATGATTGCTAATGCTACTGAAATTCAATAATTTTGGCATGTAAATGCTCTACATTTGTAAGAAATTGTTGTTTTAAAGATGTTTGTATTCTCCACAGGAGTTTTTCGATCATGCGAAGAAGCTCTGGGATGATGAAGGCATTAAGGCATGTTATGAGCGCTCCAACGAATATCAACTAATTGACTGTGCGCATTAGTAAGTATAAGTTTAATTGGACTTTACCTGGTGTCTATATTATGATATCTGCTCCAGAAACCTCAAACTTTCGAACAGAAGCGTAGGTGTTTATTGTGGCACTGGTTTGGATTAGTTACCCAACAACCGTCTAGTTGATTAGTAAGGCAGATTAGTTAAAAAAAAAACTTAGTTTGAAGTCACTGTGCTTTAGATGTTTGACGGTGTGCACTGTAAAACCTTCTCGGAAAAGTTGCATCTGTAAATCGGGGTCAGGTAAACTTGAAACCAGTTCAGGCAACTGAGCAACTAGTCTGTTTTGAAAATGTGTTGTTTTGCACATCCCTAGAAGGAACGTGTCTGATCAGACTCAGATGAACCCGAAACCAGCCTGTTTATTCAGCGCTTCCTTAAGACATTCAGTACAAACATGTTTTATATATATATATATATATACAGTGTTGGGGGTAACGCATTACAAGTAACGCGAGTTACGTAATCAGATTACTTTTTTCAAGTAACTAGTAAAGTAACGCATTACTTTTTAATTTACAAGAGAATATCTGAGTTACTTTTTCAAATAAGTAACGCAAGTTACTTTTTTTCCCCCAATTTATTGATTGACAGCTTTTCCTGTCGCCATGTTGAGAGAAATCATAAGATGTTACTGTAGTTCTAAAATAAATATGAATATTGTATATATATATATATATATATATATATATATAAGGTTCTTTGCATCTGGAGATTGTAGGTACACAAACAGTCTGTTTTCGTCCACTGGTGGCTTTTTTAGGCCAGTGCTGGCATTTCTCCTGTGTAACAGTGGCCATGTGTCAGGTATAAAAGTGTGAGGAGGATGGTCAGGTCATGGGAGTTGGTCAGCCGCTTGGTAGGACACAGATAGCATCACCAGCTAGTGCAGTGCCTGATACATAATGGCGACTGTTGTCTCTCAGTCAGAAAAGGCCCGGAGATACTCCGAGGATCATACAGACACCCAGCTGCTCTCAATACAGGCTTGTTCTCTGTGGAAGACTTTTACAATACTGACAATTCCTCTGTTATACAATTTCTAATTAGTGTCTGCTTAGAGGTGTTTGCTGTGATCCAGGGGTGGACGGTCTTTGAGAAAGTTTTCAAATAAATCTACTTGCATCAGGTTTTTTTTTTTTTCTTTTCTTTTTTTGGAAGTTATAAGTTATAATTTTGGAGGAAAATGTTAGTGGTGTTCGAACTCGCCCTCACATGATTTTGGGGTAGGGCTGCACAATTAACTGGAATAAAACCGAGATTGTGATATTACTTAAAAGGGTTAAAGGTTATGATACTTAAGCATCGCAGCGATGATTTGCTGGAAATACTGCTCCACACGTACTCCATCTTTGCATCTGCTCTGAGTTTAGGTTGCTTTAATGTGCACTGGGGAATGCAACATATGCCTCTTTCCTATTTATAAGCGCTTATCAACAAAAGAGAAGCTTTAAGGGCTTCCTGCCCCTTTTCCATCAAAATAAGTATTAGTTAAACTGTTGAAAATGAAAAAAACTTAAAGACACAAATATTAGTATTGTAATTAATGTTACAATAAGTTTAAAGTTTTTAATTATAATTGCATACAGTTGCATTCTTAATTTTTATTTGCATTTATTTATGAATTTAAGATTCCCAATTTTTCTTAAAGGGAAATCAGGCATCAAAACATAAGATAAAAAAGATGGAAAGCTGTTTATTTGTTTTATTTTATGTAAACATGCCTCATATTTGATATACTGTACATTTTAAATGTATTATTGGTAAAAAAAAAAAAAAAGTATTCATTACTGAGACTAAATAT